GGGGCGGTTACATGCACAGGCACAAATCTATGCAACTCGCTTCTGAGATTATTGATGAGCTGTTTCACCTTCGGTTAGGAAAAGATGTGGCAATGGCCAGGAGCCAGCAGTATAGATTCATGGAAAATGAACAGGATCGATCTCATTTCTTCTTCAACAGGCAGCCTAACAAACGGACCAATAACAACGAGTGAACATGCACCCACAGCCTGCTGCCCACCAGACACTGCTGTTTTATACAGCGCTGTTTAGAGAGGCTTGGCTTGCCCTATTGATTTGGAAGGAGCGAAGACTACTTAGAAGTGTTTACACTTTCACGGTGACCAATCCCAACCACTCACTTGGAATCAAAGCCTCCACAAGCACAGACAGCTAAGAGACAGAGCCTGCAGCAGCGTGGGGACAGACCTCAGGTTGTGGCTGAGCTCCAGCTAGGGCCAGGGTGCCTCCTACAACTTCCTGGGCCTGGAGCTGTAGGTAGAGGTCCACGCCAGCTTATTTCTCACCACGAGGTAGGTGTGAGGGAGGTGTTGGAGCATGCCAGACCCAAGAAGGGAGTTCAGCCCCAAAGCCCTCCTGAGAAAGGGGAAGGAGCTAGGAAATGTGCCCGGAAGCAGGGGAGAGGAGATGCAGCCCCACAAGAAAGACACTGAAAGCTGGGATGGTTCCAGAGAAGAAGAAGCCACCGCTGGGGAAGGAAGTGCTTGCTGATAAGCCAGCTCCCACACGGCCCTCAGAGAACCATCAGGGCTGTAGGATGGCACAGGGAGGAGGCCATGAGAACACAGAATAAGCACTGTCCAGGTGAGGCTCTTAGAACCATGGCAGAGAGGAGTGAGTGCTGAACTGGAGATGGCCTGCGGTGAGGCTTCCTGCATTATCTGAGTCTCCTGGCAGCCTGCAGGCTGGGCACTGACAGATCTCCACAGGAGAGAGAGGCAGAGGTCTGGAGGCCAGGAGCTGTGCTGACTCCTCCCACAACTGTCTGCAGTCCAGGATGCACAGACAGATGAGGACAGAAGTTCCACTGCTTAGCTTTCTGAGAAGTGCCTGTGTCATAATGTTTTGTTCCTAGAATTATAAAAATTCCATCAATCTGCACGCTCCCATATCAGTCTTCACAAAAGAAGAGGCCCTTTTAAGCAGCTCAGCAGCCCGCTGCCTTCCTCCTCACAGACGAAATAGCAGTTATTCATGCTTTAGTCAGAGTCAGTGAAGTGTGTGTGGGCCACGCACATGAAACAGACCATGCGAGGGCCATACATACACAATGGCGCCTTCCTGTTGTGTGTGTCCACACAGGGATGAACCCAGCCGAGGAGCAGTGGGGTGGGGATGGGGCGATCCTAGGTGGCAGGAATTTTATGCCCCTGTTGTTACCATCTCTGCACTGACACTCCTGAGACAGACCCACGTCGGCTGTGTGAAAGGCATTTTCATGGAAGTGTCTCCCCACCCCTCCCCCCGAGTACGCACCCGAGCAGGGGCCGAGTGAGCCACTGCAGGGGCCAGGCCCCGGGTGCCTCCGGCTCCACCTGCCTGCTGCTGCTCCCAGGAGGACACCCAGGCGAGGTGGCTTTCTGAAGACCCTGGAGCTCCCTTCTCAGTACAGTGCATGTGAGGGGGCAGGCATGCGGCATGGGGTGGCACTGCCAGGGCAAGGCTTTGGCCTTTGCCTCAGTAGCAGAGCCAAGTCTGGGCCACCTCAGTCTACAGCAGGAAGTGGCCCTTCCAGGAACCACTCAGCAGGGCTGAGCTAGCAACACAACAGACAGTGAGGAGAAGGGTGCTGCACAGCCCTCAGAGTTGAAGACCTACAGAAGAAGCTTCTGGGGTAACTTGAGAGGAAGTCTACCTGCACACCGCCTCGCTCTGAAAGGGCAGGACTGGTGGGCACGCACCAGTCTCCTCATCTATAGAGCGGACAGGAACAAGAGCTAAGACCGAACATTCGCCTCTGCTGGCCCCAGCTTCCTGTCTGTGAAATGGGGGAGACCACAGAGACCTGGGGAGGAGGCCAGACGGCAGTGTCAGCACAGAGCCAGCCAGCCTTTGTCTCCCCGCTTTAGGAGGCAGATGGAGAGGCCACTGCACGTCCCTTCCACTCACATCAAGCACTTTTCTGAGGGGCACACAGAAGACACCCCACCTGTTTCCATTCCCCATCACAGAAAGAAAAGGTATTTACTGGCCTTGCTTCACAGGCTGCCCCTAAGCTGCTCTCCCTGGACTTCTGTCCCACCCCACCTTGAACTGAATCCTGGTAAGAGCACCAGCACCCCCAGCCAGCCAAATCCCTCCTCACGTTGCTCTGGCCTGAGCCCTGGCTTCTCCCTTTTCCACTAGCTACACCTTCTCCCTAAGGCCCTTACCCTGTGGCATCAGTGGTGCAGATGTTACTGGCCCCCCAGGGTAGGCCCTGTGCTCTGACCCTCCCTGAGATTCCAGACTCAGGCCCAACATGTCTACCTGTTGGCTGATGGGCATCTCAAACCCAACATGTACAAAAGCAGCTTGTGGTCTCTTATTTTTTTCATAATATAAATACATGAGGAAATGTTCAACAATAATCAAATTTATGCATACAAAGTGAAAATAAGTGCCATTTTCAAATGTCAGCTTGGCACCTGTTGGGGTTTTCTGAATTAAAATACGCTTTGAATTACTGAAGTGCAGGTGACGATTAATACCCGTCTGGTCCTCCACATCTGCCACACTGCATTGAACCCGTCCCACAAGCCGTGGTCCCTGCACAGCATCCTCCCCTATGCCCTCACGCCTGCAGCACACTCCCCACCTTGCCAGGCTCCTGCCACCCGCAGCCCTTGGCTTCCAGCCAGCTGCCTCCCCCCAGTCGCTCTGCCAGACAAGATCAACCCTTGCCCCTCCCTTCGGCCTCATTCCCATGTCCCACGTCCACCACAGGTCTTCTCACCCGATTTCCCAGCTATCCCACAGGGACCACTTCTCTCCACTCCACGGCCACCAGCCTGGCCACTGAACAGCCCCGTCACTGGACCAGCAGTTCCAGACATGAGTCTGCAGCACTCTCATTGCCTGCATTCTCCATGGAGAATGTGCCCTTGCTCCTTCCCAAGACTCCCCCTGCTCCAGAAATTTGCAGCCTGTGTGGCCTGGGACTGCTCCTCCTCCGACCCCTGTGTTCCCGTGTGGTGCCCACAGGGCTTCTTTCTGGCTCTGGGCCTGCTGAGGGCCGTAACCCCTAGCTGGGAGCCTCTTCCTCTGACCTGTGCTGTGGTTCCCAGGTGTGAACCCCAGTTCCTGCACCTGGAAGTCCTGGAAGTGGGCCAGGGCACAGCCCTCTGAGGGAGGCCCCAGCACTGTGGGAGAGGCTGCTGCTCCCTTTCTTGGGCTGCCTCTCCACCTCATGACTTCTCTTCTGTGCTTGCTGCGTGTGTGCTGTTCCACCTGCTGGCATGATTTCAGCAGCAAGCCTCTCACAGACATATTGGCCTGATGTTGAGCTTCCTGGCCTCCTTGAGTCAAATTACTAAACCTTTCCTGTGTAAGTTACCCAGCCTCAGGTACTCTGTTATAGCAACAGAAAATGGACTAAGACACTTGGTTGCTTGCTCCTTCACATAACTCAAATCAGAGTTCAGATGTGGCCTTCTCAGAGAGGATCTAACCAGGTGCAGCCACCTGAACCCTCTGGATCTTATCACCCTGCTTCAGTGATCAGAAAACTGCTGGCCACCACCTGGGTTGTCTTGACTGTCTCCTGCTATATTTGGTTTCTGTGATTCTAATGCCCTTAGGATGTCAGTTCCGCACCCCACCCCCAGAGCCTGGCTCCCAGGGGCATCACAGCAGGCTGTTGAGTGAATGAGGTTCTGTCCTTTCAAGGAGTCTGCAGTGATCAGGACAAGTGTCAGGACTGAGGTCCAGTGGAAGTGGGTGTATGGCAGTGTGAGGACTGGGACCCCTGACCCTGGGGCTCAGCTTGGACCACAGAGCTCTCTGTGTGGGCTCATCATGGCAGCAGGGAGCACAGCCAGGTCTCGGACAGGGAGCTGAGGCCTCGGCTCATGGAGGACAGATGGCTGACTCCTCATACCGGGCTCACAGAGGCTGCATGTGTGACCTAAGTGCCAGCTCTGTCGGGAGCAACACGACACAGGTTCCTCCTTCCTCCCTGGCCTCTTGCTCTGGCCCCTCTGTTCCTCTACCCAGACCTGGCCCTCCCTGCTCGGCCTCTCTGGGAATGGCATTCCCTCCCAGGCCCATCCTTCCACCCAGTGGAACTTGGATCTGCCCTTCCCAGGCACTTCTGCCTCCTGCCCCTTCTAGTCCTGTCTCCTCTCCATTCTGCTTCCTGGACTTCAGCTTCTGTCCCACCTGCTACTCTCAGCTCCACACAGAGCTCCTGCCTCACTGCACCCTGGACCCAGTATGATGTCCCCACCCACCCAGCACTGAGCACGAGGCCACAGATGGAGTGTCTCCAGATCAGGGACCTTGCGGGCCCTAGGGAGAAGGAGCTGCAGAACACTGCAGTCCATGGTGAAAGGGTGAGATGACGGAATGGGATGCCCTGCTCTATAGTCAGACTCTGGCTGGAAGAAGGGCCCACTGCCAGGAGCAGCTTGACTCCAGGACAGCCCAAGAGCAACAGGGCTGGTGACGGGTGGGGTGGGGCTGAGGACTGTGGAGAGGGAAGAGCAGGAAGAGGAATAGCTGCTGTTTTGCAGGCTCAATAGGTGGCCAACTATTGGAGCCAAGCAAGGACCACAGCAGCTGGGCAAGCCACACAGGCAGGGGCTGCTGAAAGCTGAGGTGGGGCAAAGCTGACCTGGGAACTGCATGGCGGGCAGGCCCTCAGCACCTGGGCTGCGGCTGTGCTGATGGGTTCCTGCAAGGCCCTCCACCCACCAAACTCTGCTCTCTTCCCTCTTTTGCTAGTCTCTGCCACCCAAATCAGAAGACACGAGCCCCCTCACCCCCTCCGTCCACAGGAAACACTCAGAGGTGTGCCTTACTGTTGTCCAAGTGGTTGGCCTTAATGATCTTCTCCGAGTAATCAGAGATACTGGAGCATTCGATCTACATGAGACACAGAACAAAGGAGTAAGGCATTAACAAACTACAGCACAACTGCCACGTTCGGTCTTAGTCATTCTCCAAAGGCCTACCTGTTGAAAGCTCATGTGCAGTTCGGGTGGGGTTTCGACTTCTAGGTGTGCCTCTGGGGGTCATGAGGCAAGGATGTGGGTTCTGCCTGCCCCACCCCTCCCATTCTGGCGCTCACCTTGCTGTGCTTCCTGGCCACCATGACTGAGCAGCTGTGCTCTGTCACTTTCTGCCTTGGTGTCTCTGCCATGCAGCCGGCTGGCCATGGTCTGCAGCCATGAGCAAACTAAACCCTTTAAATAGTGGGTGCTGGGTACTGCGCCTCACCAGCGAGAAAGTGACTGACACAGCTTGATCTCCAGCCTGTAGGCGGGGGTGGGGGTGCTTTATGAGGTCAGGTCACTGGGACATGCACTTGAGGTGGATACTGGGACTGACCTTTGCCCCTCCGCTCCCTTTCTGTTTCCCAGTTGCTGCGAGGTGCTCCGCCATGGGCTTCCACCAGGCCTTTCTGCCTCACCAGACTCAAGATGAAGGGCGAGCAACCACTGACGGAGACTTCTGAATCCATGAGCCAAAAAGCAAGTTGCTTGCCTCCTTTAGTTTGTCACACTAATGGAGAGCCAAACAACACAACACCCAACACCAGTCTAGCGGGTGGAGAAGCTGGGTCCCAGTGACTTGCCCATAGCTGCACATTGAATTATGGCAAATTGAAAAGCCTAATTCACCTCTCTCAAGAGACCAAGATTTAGCTGTGGCCACAATGAGGGGACCAGCATCTGTGCTGCAGCCAGCAGGCCTATGGTCCTGGCCAGAGAAGGAACACGGTGTGACCTCGGGGGCAGAGGGCGGCAGAGGTAGGCCAGAGCAACTTCCAGCCTCCACCTGCACTTCCAAGCACCCGGGCCCCCGGGGAGAGGGGCCTATGTCTGGATGAGGACCTCCTGGAAGATGCCAGGGCAGGGCCCGGTCTTAAGATCTGCCCCACCATGCACACTCTAGTTAGCTTTCAACCCTCGCTTGGCTTTGGCTGTGTCCCTTAAGTGCCCATGTGTTGAAAGCTTGGTGCAAGTGGGAGGTGGTGGGAGCATTAGGAGGGAGGGCTTAGTGAGAGCGCTCTGGGCCACTGAGAGCTTACCCTGCAGAAGTACTGGGATGCCAGCCTCTTCCTCCCCTCTTTCAATCTGGCCATGACTTGACACTGTGATGTACTGCCTTGTCACAGCCCCAAAGGAAAGGAGCCACCTGACCATGGACTGACACCTCTGAAGCTATAAGCCAGAACAAACCTTCTCTCCTTAAATTATCTCAGGTATTTTGTTACAGTCATGGAAAGCTGACTAGCTTAACTTTTCTACAGACTCTGTTTTGGAAAGAATTTATTCCTTTTAATCTGGAAGTCTTCTGGGTGCTCAAAATCTCCTAAGTAAAAGGCCAAGGCATCTGAGAGACTAGCAAGCATCACCTGAGAGCAGGGCCTCATGGACGCAGGCTCAGGTTAGAAGCCCAGATGTGCTGCCAAGGGGTGCTGGGAACAGGGTGCATTTGCCCCTCTGTTACCCACTTTCATAACTGGGGACTCACAACTGTCTTCACTTTCATAGCTGGGCTGTTCACAAAGGCTGGTTCCCCTCACAGGGCCCCAGAGCCTCTGGAAGTGACTGTTTCCTTCAGAAGTCACTGCAGAGGGGCACTATGGATGCTGCTGACAATCTCCACCAATGTCCACCTCTGGGGCTGAGAAGAATCAGGTCACTGTTACAGTGACACAAGGGGCAGGCCCTGGCCAGGGCTCAGCACCCGAGAGCCTGCCTTCCCCTGGGCTGCTAGGCCCATGCTTCAGGTTCCATGTCTGATGAAGATGATGATGATGATGATGATGAAGACAATAATGACGGTGATGATGGTGGTGATGTGACTGCCCTTGGGTCCTCCCTTCTACGAACATCTCAGCTGTGATGGTGGTGATGGTGGGGATGGCGATGGTGATGGCGATGGTGGTGATGATGAAGGTGATGAAGGTGGTGTTGGTGATGATGATGATGATGGTGGTGATGATAAAGATGTAAAGATGGTGATGATGGTGATGATGATGGTGGTGATGATAAAGGTGATGATGAAGGCGATGAAGGTAGTGATGGTGATGGTGATGGTGGTGATGATGAAGGTGATGATGCTGGTGATGATGAAGGTGATGATGGTGACGGTGATGGTAGTGATGACGACGGTGGCATGAGGTGGCCCCTCCCCTCTACATGGGTCTCAGCTGAACACTCACAGGTCGCATGAGTCCAGGCTTCTGAGCTAGGGAAGAAGGCACACTCTCGCTGTAGGAGCCACAGAGCAGCCTTTGGAATGGGATGGAAGGGACCTAGGGCAGCTCCACCCACTCAGGAGCCCTGGCTCCCCAGGGCAGCTGTGAGCTGGCCCAGCTAAAGGCACAGAGGGCAAAGCACTGAGCACTGCTTCTGCCGATGGCCCACTCACACCCACGCCAGGGGCTTCATTATAGTTTACCTTTCATTTGAACCAAGATTAAACCCCATTTTCTGGCTCTCAACTTACTGCATCTCTCAAATGTCAGACAGCAGCTCAGACTTTTTTCCCAGTTCCTTCCAGATGCCTTCAGCTCCTCTTATCTGGGCTGTGTGGCTGTGGGGTGGGGGATCAGCCTCTGCCCCTAGCCTGGAGCCCTGCAGTGGTCAAAGCAGCAGGGTTTGCCTTTCAAGGAAAAAGGGAAGCCTGCCCTGTGCTCTCCTAGGACCCCGTCTCAAGCACAGTAACAAACCACACACTGGCATATGTCAGGCATTGATCTCAGCTCTGTCCACATGTGTGGTCCTCACAATCATCAGATGGACAAAGTACCTTTATGGTGTCCATTTTATAGATGGAGAAACTGAGGAGTGAATTGTACGAGGTGATGATTGTGACCAGACCTCACATCTGCAACTGCACCATACTGCTGTCAGGCCAAGAGGCTAAGCATGGGACGGCCTTTCAAGAGCCAGAAATCCTCCACCAATGCCCACAGTCCCAGGGCAAGGGACTGGGTGATGCCGCGCGACAGGGTGCCTGTCTGCCTCTTGCAGTCACACTTGACTTTCTCTACTCCTGCTCAAAGCAAAATAGATGGAGCAGCGCTGGGGATGTGGCTCAGTGGCAGAGCACCTGCCCAGCTGGTTGAGGCCCTGGGCTTGAGCGACAGAACCACAAAAACATAAAGAAAGGAAGACGGGCCCAGAAGTATGCTTCTGGAAAAGGCCAGAGAGGTAGGAGCAAGGACCGGTGTGAGGAGGGTATGGCTTGCTCACCCCAAACACCTTCTTGGCCCCTGCTTTGGCAGCAAACATGGACAGGATCCCAGTCCCACTGCCCACGTCCAGCACCACTTTGTCCTTGAAGACATGCTTGTTGTGGTACATGGAGTTCCGGTAGGTGAGTGTGCGCACCTCATCCTTGAGCATTTCCTGCAGCGGGAGGAAAGAAAACAACAGTCAACGTGTTTTGAGACTCCAAGGTACCTGGGGTGCTCAGCGTTGAGGCCCTGGAAACTAAGAACCACAATAGTATGACAGGGCAAAGCCACAGAGGAGCACTGTAGGGGGCCACCACTGCCTCCCAAAGCCACCTTTAAAATCCTGCCCAACGGCCGGGGGATGTAGCTCAATGGCATGGCGCCTGCCCCAAACACAAGGTCCTGAGTTCGATCCCCAATACTGGAAGAAAAACAAAAAAACAGAAAGACAGTTTGGCTTGGCCACCACCAGAAGAGACACTCATGTCCAGACCCAGGGAAGCTCCAACTTAGCAGAGAACGGAAGGGAAGGTCATTTCAACACAGCACAAGAGATTTAAATCAGACCGGAAGCAGAACTTCCACCATCGTCATTTAACAGGTTTTTTACAGAGACTTTCCATGGGTTTTGTGTTTTGTTCGTTTTTCTACCCAGAATTAAGTGCTTCGTAGTAAGAGGCTCAGATAACCTGAGAAGTTCACCTCTAGGTCCACGAGAACGTGGTTAACATGTGAGGCAGGGATTTCTGGCGGTTCAAGGCATCAGCAGACGCGTCCGGCCAACTCATCATCGCGGCAGTGGGCTGAGTTTTAAAAGAATTGACCTCGGATCATGGTTTTTCACACAGTGAAAGCACAGATTTTAAGCGGAACCACGCATTCGCATTGCGAGTAGCACTGAGAGTATCCGTAGCTGATTCTGTCATCGGGACACCGACTCACCGGTGACGCCCGGGACCACAGTCACACACACAGCGAGTCCAGGAGACGCCAGGCAGCACCCGAGGGCAGGGGCAGACGTCGCTGTGGACGCGCGCTCGACTGCAGCCTGGCT